TACATGCTGGAAGGCAGCAAGTTAAGCAAAGGCACCGGGCCACTGAGAAACCGAACCAGGTGCCATCAGGCCACTGCCTCTGCCTCATTTGAAAAGGCAGGTACAGAAGCACACAAACAGCATATACTTTTTTAAATCTCGGAACTCAGTTTTCTTAAGGTTTCTGCCTTTTGGAAATTTTCTCTCGTATGTTAGTGAGAAAAATAATGATTTGGGGTAATGATGACTTTGAGGGCACTGAAGGACACCACGCCACTCAGCAAAGAGCTGGGCCTGAGGGTGACACGGAGTGCTGGCCTGGTCAGCACCAGAGTCCAGCATAGCGGTGCCTGAGCACCATGGACCGGCCTCAGGACCTAGAAACTCCTCCTAGCCTCTCTGCATCCTCCACCCACTGCTCACCTGAACTCCAGCGCCCTCCCTGAACTGCTCCATCATGCTGTGCTGGCCCACAGGTGATGGCTGCACCACTAGCCTGCTACCACAGGGACATGACAGAGCATTCAGGGAACCTGCACACAGCTTAGCACTGACAGGGAGCCCTCCCAGGGACATGCTCCTTTAGCGCTTATGCCAGTCCACAGCCAGGCCACAATGCCCTGGACAGGTTCCTCCTGCATCCTGGATGCTCCGGCCGGGCCACTGGCCTGGCCCTCAGATACTACCCAGAAGGCCATGTGTGTCCATGTACAAGTGTGCAGCCATGTGTGGATGTGCAGGTGTACTGTGTGTGCATGTGCACACATGTGAGCACATATTTATATATACATACATCCACATGTACAGGAATGCACCCATGTATATGTGTGTAGGTGTACTCTGTGTGTGCATGTGTGTGAACATGTGTTCATATATATATGTATGCATACATGCACATGCACGAGTGTGCACCTATCTGTGTATGTGCAGGTGTACTGTGTGTTTGCATGTGTGTGAGCACATGTTGATATATACATGCATGCATGCATGCACATGCACAAGCATGCACCTATCTGTGTATGTGCAAGTATACGGTGTGTGTTCATGTGTGTGAGCACCTGTTGATATATACATGTATGCATACATGCACATGCACGAGTGTGCACCTGTGTATGTGCAAGTGTAAGGTGTGTGTGCATGTGTGTGAGCACGTGTTCATATATACACATAGGATACATGTACACGCACAAGCATGCACCCGTGTGTGTGTATATACATTCATGGCTTCCTCCTGAACTGCATCAGGACACCAACGAGGAGTAAAAATTTTCATCACCTTCAGTTTGATTTTCACAACAAACGAGCGTCTGACCAATTTTTAGAGTTAAATGATTGTTTAATTGAATTTTCAGTCAAAAATCTCCGTTGTGTGGTTCAAATTCATGTCACCAAGGGCAGAGCACCTGCTCTGACCAAGGAAAGGTGTTCAACCTCAGATATCTGAGGCCCTGGGAGCTCCATTCATTGATCCTAAAACGCATGGCTTGCTTGGTGACCATGCTGCCCATTCTGCACACGACATCATGTGTTGCCTCCGCTAAGTTATCCCTTAAAGTCAACACCTAGCCAGCCACATGAGCTGCGAGCTCCTACTGCTGAGCCAAATCATAGCTTTGTGTTTAAAACAGTAACTTACAAACTCAGCATTTTGCCATGTAAAAATGCTAAAATTTGTTTAATTCTTTATCTCATCGTCATAATAAACTCTTCGCAGGGAAGCAGAATAAGACTCATTTTTAGAAAGGTCCAAGAATTGGCCGGGCACAGTGGCTCATGCCTGTAATCTCAGCACTTTGGGAGGCTGAGGTGGTTGGATCACCTGAGGTCAGAAGTTTGAGACCAGCCTGGCCAACATGATGAAACCCTGTCTCTACTAAAAATACAAAATTAGTTGGGCGTGGTGGTGGGTGCCTGCAACCCCAGCTACTCAGGAGGCTGAGGGAGGAGAATCGCTTGAATCCAGGAGGCAGAGGTTGTGGTGAGCCAAGATCATGCCACTGCACTCCAGTCTGGGCAACAAGAGTGAGACTCTGTCTAAACAGAGAGAGAGAGAGAGAGAGAGAGAGAAAGAGAGAGAGAGAAAGGTTCAAGAACTGGAATTATTTTGCAAGTAGCACAAAGAACCCACTCTCAACCATTAACTTCAAGTTTTAAAAAGGCAGGATGAACATGCATGAAATTGCTGTTGTGAGCTGGATAACCTCAGCATTCAGCGCTACAGCAGTAACCACTAAGTCAGTGGTAACTAGGAAGGCTGATGTCTTCATGATGGTCCACTCATTTCCCTGAGAATTGATCTTTGGGGCAATTTGAGTTTAGGAGTACATGGGATTCTATTTCCTCTGGTAAACTTTAAAAAAATCAAACCTAGGTATTCCACATCAGTACATGAACACCTATGACAATGGAGCTAAGAATAGTCCTGGAGCTAGGGACACTCAATCTTAAAACAACTCATCTAACTTTCTGGTCACATGGAAAAGGCCAGTTTGCCCCAGCTGGATCTTTGTGTACTCCTGGATTTTCCTGCTACCCAGGCCAGAGAGGTGCACACGGGGACAGGAGGGTGTGCACACAGGGACAGGACAGGTGTGCATGCAGTGACAGGAGTGTGAGCACACAGTGACAGGAGGGTGAGTGCACAGTGACAGGAGGTTGTGCATGCAGGGACAGGATGGGTGTGCACGCAGTGACAGGATGGTGAGCACACAGTGACAGGAGGTTGTGCATGCAGGGCAAGGTGGGTGTGCATGCAGGGACAGGAGGGTGTGCAAGCAGGGACAGGATGGGTGTGCACGCAGTGACAGGACGATGAGAATGCAGTGACAGGAGGTTGTGCATGCAGGACAAGGGGGGTGTGCACACAGTGACAGGGTATGCACATAGGAATGGGAGGGTGTGCATGTGGTGACAGGTGGGTGTGCAAGCAGGGACAGGAGGGTGTGCCCAAGGGCATAGGAGGGTGTGCCACCTGCTCCTGGCTGTGGCCTCTGCCCCCAACTATGTTCTGCCTTCTGTTTTGTCCCAAGAAACACCTGACACTTTAGAGAGGTCACTGATCTTGATCACAAATTTGAAAGACTCATAAGGCATCTAACATTTTAAGGTGTACAAAACAATTAAGACTAAACACCTTGGAAAACAAAAAGCACACAGGAGGTTTGACTTTTTGCATCTGTGCTGCCCATGCATTTGCTCCTGCCAGGGCAGTACCTGGCAGCCTTCTGTAGAGAGTCACCAAGTGCCCACCCCCAGGGAGACCCACCTGGCTGCCCCTGCTGTGTAGTTCTGGAAGGCTGGCCTTGCAGCTACCTGAGAGGCCTCTGCTTAGGAAGCAGGAAGCCCCTGGCTATGCCGTGCTGATTGGATGCAGGCAGACAGAGGGAAGGATCTTAAAAGTCACACTGCGCTGCCAGTGATCACAGTTTTGCTTAGGTTGGTGACTGCTGGGCTGGTTGTCCTGAGGCAGGAGAGGACTGGGCTGTGAGGACAACAGGGACCAATCAGGTCATGTCCTCTGTCTGGCTGGACCTCCATTCTCACTCTTCCACTCAGGGATGCCTATTACGGGCCAGTATCTGAAGAGGCCTGAGGGTGAAAACCTAGGAAACTGGCTGTGAGTGATTCTTTGTCCTCCAGCAGCATCCACTTAGCAAGGAGAGGACACTGGCCTGAGCTTCGCAGTGACTGAGCAGGCATCAGCAGGGACAGGCTTGCCAGCTCTGGAGATCAGCCCCCTGAATGGTGACAGGTCTCACTTCTCATCATGGAAATGGAGCTGGAGCCTCCTCCCTTTTGTGGCCTCTGCAGCAGCAGGGCAGCCCAGCCAGGGGCCAGCTGGGACGGGCCTTGGTCACCAGGGATACAGGGAGCTCTGGCTTTGGGCAACTAGGGGCTGAGGAGAGGCCTCACTCCAGAGCCTGTATCTGAAAACTATGCTCCATCCTTAAATTTGGCTACCTTTTCACAGCTATAGGTAGACTTCTGTACACAATACAGATATTACACGTAGTTTCTGTAGCTTCTCTCTCCCAACTGCTCTGAACTGGCACCCCGCAGAGCACGCACCGGCTGCCTCTGCTCCCCCAGCCGGAGGTACACATCTTTTCCACCAGGCTGTGGCTCTGCTCCCAGCTGCTCAGGGTCAGCATGTGGGATCACCTTTTCCCAAGACTTGGAGCTGGCCTGGCTCCCAGCCAACCCCTCAGACAGACGGAAACACACTCCACCAGCATATGGAACTCATTTCATATCGTGTGAAAATACACACAAGCATGTCTTGATCATTTAAAAGTATGACCTTCACATCAATTAAGGCTATTATGGGGTATATTTTAAATGAAATGCTATCATACTCAAAATTACCAGATTAATGAGTTAACAGGAAAATTATCTATGCCAGAAAAACTATGACTGATTTTCCAAAATAGGATTAGATTGTTCATATGTATTAACCAAAAATAAGCTCTGCCTTGCAGTCGAAACCACACAACCAGTTTCCAAAAAGAGAACTGCACGGGACGTGGCATCAGTGTGTGCACACATAGAAAGTTAGCTTCAGAAAGAGGTTGGATCAAGTCAACTAGCTAGCAGAATACAACTGTTCAAACAACTCAACATTTGTCCGACCAAATGCAACCATTTCCCCCCTATGCTGACGTGTGTGTAGACATTCTCTAATTCCAATTCGATGCATAATCTCCAATAACATAGCAATTAATTTAATAAAGGAACTCACCAATTTTAAATTGCAATAAATTTACCAAACATTTTCACTGTTTATGGAGAGCTTTACAGTAAGAAAGTATCAACAAAAGCAGGCACATCCGTGTACAAAGTGTTGCTGTTGGGTGTTTTCACTTCTTCTTTCCTGAATTACCGGCTGCTTTGCGTCTCTGTCCTGTCGGCGGCGCGCTCTTCCTCCGCGGGAAGTCGCCGTCCCGGGGCGGGCGCTCGCTCCGTCCCCCTCGCCTCGGACCACCAGGCAGAGCCGCCCCAGGGTTTGGACTTGCCAAGAAAAGTGCGGTCGGGCCAGTCAAGCCCAAACATTTATTGTAAACTTGGAAATGGAATCCAGATATGAACGACACAGATAAGAAGAGAAACCTCCCCGATACAGAAATGGTCACACCAGGGACCCCCTCCTGTGGTCACGGAGCCCCGCAGAGGGGCCACGTGGAAGAGGCGGCGCCCCTGAGGCCTGGCCCAGGCCCCCGCCCCCGCCGCCGGTCCTCCCTCGCCGCGGGGGGTCCTGAGCGGGGCGCAGAGTGGGGGTCCGTCCCGCGGGCTCAGCAGGCCGCCCGGCTGGTCTCCCAGGGCCGCGGCGTCTCGCAGGGCGGCCGGCAGCAGTAGGGGTAGGAGGCGTTGAGGTCGGGGTCCGAGGGCGCGTACCCCGGCAGCTCCACCGACGGGTGCCCCCCGCAGCGCACCTCCGCGCCCGCCTCGTCCAGCGCGTGGAGGACGCCCACGTTGATGAAGGAGACCGCGTGGTGCGCCGCGAAGCCCGCGCAGTCCCCGGGGGCGACCAGGTCCGAGTCCTCCGGGGACAGGATGGAGGCCTCGCTCGGCCGCGGCTGCAGCCGCCGCCCACGCCGGCCCCGCCGGCCCCGGCGCGCCCGAGAGGCGGGCGTCTGCGCGCGGAGCCCGGAGCCACCGCGGGGCCGCGCCAGGGCCCGGCCTCCCCTCCGCCGTCCGCGCCGACCGCGCCGGGCCTGAGACGACCGGTAGTTCTTGACCAGCAGGAGGCTGAGCAGGCCCAGCAGGCACTCGAGCGAGTTGAAGACGGTGGAGAGCACCAGGCCGCGCTGGTAGTCCTTGAGCTGCCGGCACTTGGCGGACGTGGCGCTGTCCAGGGTGCTGCGGGAGCGCTGGGCGCCGGGGGCCGCGCCGGGGGCCGAACCCGGGGCCGCGCCGGGTGGGGCCGAGCCGGACGCCCGCGGGGGCAGGCAGTAGTGCGAGTACTTGCGCTCCACCAGCGACACCGTGTCGCCGTCGATCACCGCGCCCGCGAAGGCGCTGAGGACCCCGAGCATGAAGACCAGGACGCCGAGCAGGAGCAGGTTCTGGCTGCTCACCGGGCCCGGGGCCCCGGCCGCGGCCCCCGGCTCGCCCGGCGCGGCCTCGGCAGCTCCCGCGGAGGCCGCGGGGACCCCCAGACCCGGGCCCGGCTCCGGCCCCGTGAGGGGCGCGTCCCGGGGCCCGCAGCAGAGCAGGGCGGCGCCGAGCAGCGAGAGGCCGGCGGCCAGCAGCAGCCCCGAGTAGAAGGCGCCGGCGGCGGCCCCCAGGCGGAACGGCTCCCCGCGCAGCTCCGAGCCCAGCGAGAAGCACTTGAGGCCGACGGCGGCGGCGCTGAGCGCGCAGGCGAGCAGGAGGCAGGAGGAGAGCGCGGCGCAGGCCCCGCGGACGCTCCACTTCATCCTCCGCGCCCGAGCCGGCCCGCACCCCGCGCGCCCGCCGCCGCCCGCCGCCGCCCCCGCCGCCTGCGCCTCCTCCCGGCGCCGCGCGGCCGGACCGCCGGCCTCCTCCTCATCCTCCCGCGTCCTCCCGGGCCCGCGCCGCCGCCGCCGGAGCCCGCATCCTCCGCCTCCCGCCGCCGCCGCCGCGACCCCGCGCCGGGAACGGATGCGGCGCCGAGGACCGCAGGGCGCGCGCGCCCCCTCCCCAGCCCGCGGCGCCCCTCCCAGGACGCTCCCCCCCGCCCCCCACCCCGGCTGCCGCCCGGCGCGCCTAGCCCTGGCGCCGCCCTTCCCCGCCCCGGCAGCCCCCGCCGCCCCCGGGACGCCCCTCCGCCACCTCCTCCGGGACCGGGGCCCCAGGCCGCGTCTCTCCGCCCTCCTTCCCTATCCGCGCCCCTCTCCGGCGCGGGCCGCTGAGGGAACGCCGCCCTCCACCCCCAGCTCTCTCTCTCTCTCTTTCTCTCTCTTTCTTTATCTCTCCCCTCCCCCCCCGGACCCCCTGGGCCCCACCCCCGGCGCTCCCCACCGCTCGGCGCCCCTGCGTCTGCGCTCCCCTGTCTCCCCTATCCGCTGGGTTTGGGCCGCACTTCCCACCCACCCGCCTGTCAGCGGCCGGTGGAAGTTACGGGGGTGCAGGGAGCAGGGAGAGAGGAGCTCTTGTGCTATGGGGGAGTGGGTATGCGGGAGAGCCTGGGTTAAAGAAGGGGAAAGGGGGAGCCTGGGAGAGGAGAGAGGAAAGGAGGAGAGCTCGGGTGCTGGGGTTGGGGGAAGGAGCCCAGAGAGGGAGGGGGAGGGGCGGGTGCTGGCGGGGAAGGAGCCGGGGGGAGGGGGACAGGTGCTGGGGGGGAAGGAACCCAGGGGAGGGAGGGGGAGGAAAGCCCGGGTGCTGGGGGCGGAAGGAGCCCAGGGAGGAAGTGGGAGGAGGGCCTGGGTGCTTGTGGGTGCTTGGGGGAGAAGGAGCGGGTGGGGGGGGGACCGGGTGTTTGGCGGGGCGGGGGGAGGGGGAAGAGTTCAGGGCATGGGAGAGGGAGCCGGGTGCTGGGGGGGAGGAAGGAGCTCGGGGAGGGAGAGGGAGGAGTGAGCCAGGGAGGGGGTTGTCCAAGGGATGGGGACGGTCAGGGTCTCTGGGAAGTGCTGACGTGTGCCCGCGTGTGGTGTGTCGCTTGTGGGCGCGTGTGCGGTGTGTAGTGTGTTTCGTGTGTGGTGTGTGCATGTGCGTGTGCGCGCGCGTGTGTGCGGGTGGGCCGTGTGCGTGTGCGCGCGGTTCGGGATGAGCAGGGGCGCTGACTTTTAGGACTAGCCATTTGAACCAAGCTGGAGGTGACGTCTTAGGCAGAACCGTGGATGAGTCTCGTTTGGTTTTAGTCTACAAAGCGCTTCTGGATCAGACAGGAATTTTCCCCAGACGCGGGTGCACGTGAATTAATTCATCAGAAGGCGGTTCACGGCCTGAGTGAGGGGGACGAGGGCGGCGAATTCCTCCGCCTCATTCCTACCCTGACGATTCAAGGTGGGTGAGAGGAAGGCCGGGGTGGCTGGTGGGTGGGGTGGGAGAAGGTCACCTCACCGGCCTCTCTGGGCCCTCCTGCCTCTTCCTGAGAGGAGCTCGCCTCGGCCCCTTGGTTTGGGGGGGGTGGGGGCGTCTCCGGAAGGGCCTCGGCCCAGCAGCTGGGCCTGCACTCCTGGTCCCTTCCAGTTCGTTTCTGCTGCGGCGGCAGCGAGGCTGGGGAGCGGATGACTCACCCTCCTGGCTAATTGCAGCGTTAAATAACTTTGCGCCGGATTCGGTGGCTGCAGCCAGGGAACGCGCTCAGGGCGCGGGGGAGGTGCAGGTTCGCGCTGAGAACGCACCTCGGGCCCGGTCACCAACCTTAGCAAGTTCTGGCCTGTGGAGCCCTGGCCCAGAGCGCACAGCTTCAAGGCCCTGAAGGGCACGGCGTGGCCTGTGGTGCCCGGAGGACCCGGGCAGAGCCCCTAGAGGCCCTGTCTGAAGGAAGCGGCACCCACAGGTTTCAGGCAGTGCGGGCGCAGGCCCCTCGCCCACCTTCACGGAAACCATCTGCCCATGTGACTCTATGCGAAGGCCCTTCCTGCGCTCCCTGGACATGTGCGTGGGATTTACTTCAACGGCGATAGCTGCGAGGGGGACGAGCATGTTTCGCTGTATTTTTAGCAGACAGTGCAGATTTTAGAGCCTCGCGAACGGTCCTGCGTCCCTGCACGATGACTCGCCAGAGCAGTGGGAATAGTGACCCTTCCTTTGCATCGATGGTGCATAGGTTTTCAAAGGACAGTGTGTAAATCGGCTTGTATAATAATCGTGGCACCCACGCGCGCGAGCAGACTTACCATGAGCTGACTTCCACTGATTATTTCAGTTTCCAGGGAAACGAGGTTTGCAGCCACCTCCGGTGAGGGCGGAGCGGCCTCTCCATTCCCAATGCGGGAAGGCTGCTGCAGCCACAATGATTAGACTTTGAAGGAGGAAGCGAACTAATGGGGCCTCATCCTACCTCCTCCCTGAAGGTTGGGGGTGGAAAGATGGGGCTGTGCCCTCTGAGGGCAGGGAGAAACAGCTTGGAGGGGGTTCTGCCATCAGAAGTCCCATAGGAGGCAGGTCAGTCCTGCAGAATTTCTCCGGTCTGGCCTCTAGACGCCTCGATGCCTCCCCGGCCCCTCACTAGACGCCTCCACGCCACTGATGCCTGCTCCTGCCACGGGCCCTTTGCGCCTGGGGCTGCTGCAGCCTGGGTGTGTCGCCTCTCCACATCCCCACCCGGTGTCTGCCTTACATTTCACAGGTGCTTGCTTCACCCCACGCAGGAGTAACTCAGTTTTGTGGGATCCCACTGCCCTCCAGGTGCCGCTCCTAATGCTCCACACAGCTTTTCATTCAGTCCTTGCAGCATGCTAAGGTAGGCGGCCCCGCTGTCCTCACAGAGGCTTCCCAGGCAGGAGCCAGTGACTGGTGCACTGCCTCCCTGCCCCCTCCTGCCGGGGCAGACGGTCCTCCATAACAGCCAGGACTTCCCTGTGGTCCAGAGGTGTGTGTCCCTGCCAGACTGGGAGCTCAGTGCACTGCAGTCCTGTCCAGCTACCCCGCCGACCCCCACCCCATCAGGATCTGGCTTTGCCCCAGCTGTGTGGAATGAATGCATGAACAAATGAGTGGGTGGGTGGCTCAACTTGTGACAGGGCAGAAAAGTGCTGGTTCTGCTCAGAGGCGCTTGGGCCAGGTGAGGCAGGCCGCCAGGCAGGCAGACAGGCACCCCGTCTTCCTGTTGGGGGTGGGGAAGGGACTCTGTGAGGGTGGGCAAATGCCCCAGCAGCAGGAACATCAAGAGCAGAGGCCCTGGAGCAGGCGCACAGAAAAGTCCCCAGGTAGGAGGGGCAGAGTGAGGGCGCTACCATTGGGCGGCAGGTGCCCACCCAGAAGGGTCTTTGAGCCTTGCTGGGAAGTTCAGGCTTTACCCTGCAGATAAGGGATGAGGCCCTGCCTGGTGTGTCTGGAAGGAGCCCTGCCACTGGGGAGCAGGCGGGGTGGCTGCCCATCACCGTGCAATCACAGGTTTGCCTGCTCATCTCCCCTGCCGTCTCCCATCACTTCCTCACTCTCTGCAGATGGTCAGTGATGTTCCTGAGTGAGTGACATTGGGCTGGCAGAGAGGGAAGGGCGTCTGTGGCCCCAGTCATGCAGAGCTTCCTTGTACATTAGTCTGTTGAGCTCACGGAGACACTTCAACAGCCCTTGTCTCTCAGGGTTGGCCTCTGCACTTCAGCTGGGTTCTGACACTTAAAATCAGAAGTGGAATTGGAAACAGATGCAGGCACAGATAGAACGCTGATTCCATTGCTTTCTGGCAGAATCCCGTCCCCCAGGCCCACCTGTGAAACCTCCTCCTGACCCTTGACCCCACTCCATGAGGGGAACTCAGGAAGCTGCAGGCTTGTCTGGTGATTTTCGGGGCCCAGGGCTCAGGGTTCAGAGAGGGGCACCCACCTCAGAAAGAAGCACCACACTCATGAGAAATGACTTTGATAGGTTGTTGAGGAAAGAGGAGTTATTTTAAAAATCACAGACCCCATCGTGTGCCAGCACCTTCACACAGGGCACGTAGTCCCTGCGGCCACCTCTGTGCTGGGGCCACGTCTTGTCCTAATGACAAGGAACTGAAGCCCAGAGATGGTATCAAAAACACTCATGGGGTTTTTTCTGATTACAATAGCAATTGTGTTAATCCAAGAATATTTTTCCTATCAACTGTAAACCTTATTTTAATATTTACATATTTATGAGCATTTAAAATGCAGTCTCCTAGAATATTGACTTCAATTAATGTTGAAGTCAATATTAATTGAATTTGGCTGATTCTAATTATTTTTACTAATTTGTGTATCACTTCACTTTTTAGTACTTTGGTTTTTTGAGATGGAATCTTGCTGTCCCCCAGGCTGGAATGCAGTGCTGGGATCTCACCTCACTGCAACCTCCACCTCCTGGGTTCATGTGATTCTCCTGCTTCAGCCTCTCGAGTAGCTGGGACTACAGGCACCTGCCACCACACCTAGCTAATTTTTGTATTTTTTAGTAGTGACGGGGTTTCACATGTTGGCCAGGCTGGTCTCAAACTCCTGACTTCAGATGATCTGCCTGCCTCAGCCTCCCAAAGTGCTGGGATTACAGGCATGAGCCACCATGCCTGGCCTCTTTTTAGTACTTTTATCCTTTATCTTTTTAACTACCTAAATACCCAACATTTTAAATTATTAATATTTGCCCTCTCTTCTCTGAGAACAATCACCATTGATCTTCCACTGTCATAGCCACAGTGTGTGCCTCTCTGTAACTGTGCACAGCTGGTGATTTATTGAAAGAACTTACTTGGAAAACCACAGCCAGTGAGTTCTTGGAGACACAACAATGCACCTTAATTATTAGCTTAAAAGCTTTTGTCTTGTGAAATGTAATAGATCCACAGAAACATCATAAAGTATACATGTA